TACAGAAAGCGAGTAAAGAACTCTCAACTACTAAAAAGGTCAGTTTAATCTCACAAAAACTCCTGTTAATAAAAAGTCTGACTGCACTGCACAATTAATCTCTTACACTGCATCTTTGTTGTTTATGATGAATTCGGTGCTTGCACGTAGGCTACACCGCTTTTATTATTATTGCAGCTTAGATGTTCAAATAGCTGCAGTGCTCCGACTTTGCCACAAACAAAAGTGCGTACGTCTGCTCAGACCCTGACATGGCGGTAAGTACTTTCCCACGTCAAAGACGGTTTTTATAAATATGAATGTTGCCGTGGATTTTAGTGTACGCACACTCTAAGATCAATTCTGTGCGTACGCACATTTTATAAATGAGGCCCCTGGAGTCTAAAATCTTATGCAGATCATTTGAGTGGACACATCTTTAAAAGCCGTTTATAACTCTTCCGAGTGTAATCCTGCCATCATGGGCTACTATCTTTGACCTGTGTTTCTGTTACTGGGCTCTTTGTTTGTCATTGGTTTTGTGTGGAATGACATACTGACATCAGGCACGTGTTCTGCATAGAATACCTGGACAAACTACTATATTTCCCACAATGCATTGTGCCTGTCATTTCCAGTGTGATGAATAACCCAGAGATGACATTACAATAATTTTAGATTAAACATTTTTACAAGAATACTCAGTCAGACATGATTAGGTAATGATAACAATGTATCATGGGACAGTTTGAAAGACTTACCACTGTATAATGCAGTTTCACTTAATAATTAGTTTAATTAAGTTTTAGGCAGTCTAGATTGTATACTGTGTGGTGTTCAGTAGTATTAGGTAGTATTCTATTCCAAACATCACTCTGTTTCCTTTGATTTATAGCAACATACATTTACCAAGACTGTTGAATGTGGTAACATGGAGATAATGTTAATAATTGCATTGTCAATTAAATGTATCAAAATATATAATTTTGGGAAAAAATTATTATATAATGGGAATCATTATACACTGGTTTTGAAGTTAAAAAAAAAAGGCCTTTAAATATTTACTTTGACAAAATTGTTAGAATAGCATAAAAACAGTAAAATGTAATAAAATGAAATGAGATCTCACCTCTCCTTTCTGTCCGACGGGACCGTAATGACCCTGAAGTAAGAGGAAACAGAGGCTGTGTCAGAAATCAGAGGACTATCAGACATTGAGCTGCATGTGGCAAGTGAACAGTGTTACGTACCGGCTCCCCGTTCTCCCCCGGTAAACCATCACTTCCAGCAACTCCCTAAACACAGAAGCACACGGCACCATGTGCAAACATGCATACAAATAGATTGTTTTCTCTTCATGTGTTTTTTTTTTTTCATCATACAGTAGATATGCCTCATACCATGTCTCCTTTAGGCCCTCCAGCTCCAACTGGACCCTGAGAGAGAGAGAGAGAGAGAGAGAGAGAGAGAGGGGAGTGTTATGTGTGTGTTACACATAGGCTTTGTTCTGTGGCAAGAGCTCTGGACAGTGAGGTCACCAGGTCCTCTAGATGTCTACTGAAATATGAGCTATGCTCTTTACTGCGTCTGTGATTAAACAAAACTAAATAATATATCTGAATTTGTTTGTCTGTATGCATCTGTGTATGTATGTGTCTTTGTTTTTAGAAAAGGAAAGCTCATGGGAAAACTCTGATTAAAAAAGAAAAGAAAATACATTTTAAAATCGTTTTACACAGGCTGAATACTTCTAACATCAGTAGAGAGACAGACAGATGTGTGTCACTCACCCGTTCACCAAAGCCACCTCTGATTCCAGTAGGACCAGGCAGACCTGGATCACCTAAAGCTCCTTTAATACCCTGCATGGAAACACAAAATTAATACATTTCATAAACCATGGATCAGATGACACACAACTACTGCTCCCAAGCGCTCAGCCCTCAGAGCAACGGTCATGACTTTTGCCAAATAATAAATGACATTTACTGTCACCAAACCCTATCCTTCAGAACCTTCAGAACACATGGAATATGAGGCATGTTTCACGTTTCGATTATCAGAGTTTTTCTGTTGTGGCACTTGACATGAACCCATAATGCAACTCACCTGGAATCCTTTAACACCTTGTGGTCCAGGGTTTCCAGCTAGTCCAATGCCACCCTGTTAAACAAGCACATACAGTGAACAACCACAAATCCTGGAGCTCTCCTGACTGCAGCACCTAACATCCTCATCTCTCAGGACCAGCTGTCTGACCTTCTGTTCAGATGAGCATGACCCAGTCTAATACGGCACTATTATATGTTACGAGTCAGTCTTAGAACCTGACCTCAAACAATTCATTCAGAAAAAGGAAAATGGGGATTTTTCACTTGTGATTTTATGTTGACAAAAACATAACTCAGCTGAAACACACAGCTGACCTCTATGAACTCTATAACTTCAAATGAATCTTGCTCAGCCATTTTTAATCAGCGTCTAATGTTGTCTCTGATGTTGGCTTTGTTTTTACTTACAGCCACTCCTCTGGGTCCAGCCTCTCCTCTCTCTCCAGGGATGCCAATCTCACCCTGTGGGAGGAGTCACGTTTAGACACGATGTACATCAGAGCATGGTGACCGTGATGTACAACATGTTCCTGGATCAACATCCTTGTTGATCCTGCAACAACATTCCAATCAATCAATCAGAATTGAGGGATAACTTTTCAGGAAATGTCTGTTTTAGGCTTACGATCAGGGTTAGGTGCTTCTACACCCTTGGTAATCAGCTATCATTTCACACTGATTTTAGGAATAAATTATGGGTAGGGTTAGGTTTAGGGGTAGGGATTGGGTTTAGTCTATATTTTTGGACAGTAATGTTGATCCAGGAACATGTTTTACTTGGCAAAATCACGGCGACCATCAGAGCATGTAGCAGTAACCTCATAGGATTCTACTAAATGACCTGTATGTATTGTGCAGTCACAGAAGTTGGCAGTGCAGTAACACTGGCTGAGAATCTGAATGATCTTACAGCATGCATTACTACACTACAGCTGTCAGAAATGGTTCATATCTGGTCATGAGTCAGATACATACAGGTATACCTGGCTCTCCAGACGGTCCTGCTTCTCCCATCTCTCCTGGACTGCCCTGAACGGAGAAGGATTCTTGCATTATTCACCATTTCAGGGTAAAAGAGACCTCAGACCGTCTTACAGTCAGAAACACCAGACCAATAATGAAAAAAGATGGGAAGGCTGTCATTTTTAGCTGAAAGTACCATGAGCAGTATGCCTCTGCTGAGCAGATGCTAACAGAAGCCTCTCTCCAGAGGTGCTTATCATTTCCTAAACTGTCCATCCGGAGGAAGCTTATACTAGGAAACACTGAAGCATAAATTCACATTCCTCTTCATGTTTTTTTTTTTTTTTTTTGAAGTTTACAAAACATTCATTTAAAATTTCTTAACTAACCAAACTTCAACAACAAAAGGGCGAATGCCATGAATGTAACTGATTGCACAATGAGTGATCAGTGATATTCCTACTTCAAATACTTTTTTCGTCAGTTCTTCCAACCCTGGTTCCTTCAAGGAGCTAGAACACAAGGAGCTAGAACTCAAGGAGCTAGAACACAAGGAGCTAGAAACACAAGGAGCTAGAAACACAAGGAGCTAGAACACAAGGAGGTAGAACACAAGAAGCTAGAAACACAAGGGGCTAGAACACAGGGGGCTAGAACACAAGGGGCTAGAACACAAGGGGCTAGAACTCAAGGGGATAGAACACAAGGGGCTAGAACACAAGGAGCTAGAACTCAAGGAGCTAGAAACACAAGGAGCTAGAACTCAAGGAGCTAGAAACACAAGGAGCTAGAACACAAGGAGCTAGAACTCAAGGAGCTAGAACACAAGGAGCTAGAAACACAAGGAGCTAGAACACAAGGAGCTATAAACACAAGGAGCTAGAAACTCAAGGAGCTAGCACTCAAGGAGCTAGAACACAAGGAGCTAGAACTCAAGGAGCTAGAACACAAGGAGCTAGAAACACAAGGAGCTAGAAACACAAGGAGCTTGAACACAAGGAGCTAGAACACAAGGAGCTAGAAACACAGGGGGCTAGAACACAGGGGGCTAGAACACAAGGGGCTAGAACACAAGGGGCTAGAACTCAAGGGGCTAGAACACAAGGAGCTAGAACACAAGGAGCTAGAACTCAAGGAGCTAGAACACAAGGAGCTAGAACTCAAGGAGCTAGAACACAAGGAGCTAGAACTCAAGGAGCTAGAACACAAGGAGCTAGAACTCAAGGAGCTAGAA